TAGCACTTTGGTGACGATCGGGATCAAACTTAAGCCGCGGTGGTTTTGCTAATCGTTGCGGGATCCTTTCTTGAAAATGGGAACGATCAGTGATTCGCCCCAAGATGAAGGAATGTACTCTTGCATCCAAATATTGCGCAGTAGGGTGGTAATAGAGATTACGAGATTATCACCTCACCTGTTGAAAAGAGTGGGAGGGAGCTCATCAGGTCCTGTTGTCTTTCCTCGCTTCAGAGCTTGAATGCGAGACCGAACTTCTGCTTCCGTTGGAGGATCGCATGACACTGCCCACGGAGCTTCAGTCGGAGATGAAGCAGCCTGGTTAGCACTAGGCCAGCTGAAGATACCCGTTCACTTGATATAGCAGGTTAGCTCGTTGCAAGGATCCTCTCTTGCTAATTTCATGAACCTTTGGCGGCTATAACTCGGTCGGAAACATATGCATAGCGCTGATCATTTGTTCAGTTTACGTTGTCTATGCTTCTCATTTAATAACCGGATCCACCATCAAACCGGTTTACAGAGTGGTCAGGTTCGAAATGTTTCAAGATTTCCAAAATATAGTGCCAGTAGATGTTGGAAACAGTTGACGAATAGGACTATAAACAGTGTTCGGTAACTTACAGATGATACAGGCTAATCCAAACACAAACTAAAAATAAATTCAGTGAAGTGATTGCACATGGACGTACCACAGATCGTGGGAGTTGCATCAGTCGGGCAAGTTGGAGGCACACATTAGACAAATACGGAGTCAGCTTTGTGCGACATCTTTTAATCCCGGACAGCTGGGAGATAAATTCGATCAACGCGCAGACTAACGTGTTGTACTCCACCGTGTCGCCTGAAATTCAAATATCACCAAGACAAATTGCAGAGTTCAGTAAGCGTAAGGTAAAGCCGAATGAGAAAAAACTCCTCACAATGCAGTTGTTTGTGCTCGAGTCTCGCCAGGCTTACCATCAGAGTCGACCCCATCCGTTTCGAGATCTCCAGTTTCTGCATCGGGTTGGGCCAGAATTTTGCATCGAACATATGTTTCAGTTGTGCTGAGTAACAAATGCCATAGCATATTCATCAGCGGAGTCCAATCACCACCAAAACAGCTATTCACGAAATTGTGTACCTCAACACACAAAAAGGTGAGCATCTGTCGAACGAACGAAAGCAAAAGAGAAGCGAGGAACGTTGGAAACATAAATCATTAAACAACACGCGAAAGTACCCTGGTACGCAGTTCTCATTCTCTCTCGCACGGGCGCTCAAGGGATAATCTGCTGATAGGCATATCCGAGCATATTAACCGACTGAATACGGAAATTGGGAAATAACTCATGCAAATAGGATGAACAACAATCCAAACATTTCAAAATACGAACGTCAATGACCAGAAAAAAGTTAAGTGATCCGATCGAAAGCGTAGCAGTTTGAGGGAAATCGCGGATCACAGTGCGCTGGGCTCATAAAACCTTGTATGCGATTAGTCTACCACACCACAAAGATGACAGAGGTTAACCGACCATTTTTCTTAAGACCAGTACAGTTGGACAAGCTAAATCTTCCTTATGAACAGATCTCTTAGATTGTAAATATATTCATCTGATAACTGCTTCACCGTATTACGTTTTTATTATCACAATCATCATTATTTCTCAGGACAATTTTTATCAGCAGAAAACATCACAGAAACAGTGTCAAAACACACCATACTTATTTTATTTCAGCAATCAATTGCGAGAGGATGAGTCGGATGCATGAAATGGAAGTTCGCTTTAAATTATAGATATACATATATTGATATCAATTTTTTTATCGTACATTCATTGAAGGTGGAAGTATTCATTGCAACGGAAGAATAACCGTGAGATTAAATCTCCATGAATATGGAACAGCGTCGTTCAGACAAAAAATTCAAATATGAGACTAATAGATAGCAGAGCATGCCTGAATTGTTCCAATCATCATGATGGAGTCTCAAGTTCAGATACTATCTCACTTGTTGGACCATCCCTATGATTAGTGAACAAGGAAAGCAGGAAAAAACACGAAATTGTTCTGGGCTTCTTGCAACCATGAAATAGGATGAGATCGAACCTGGCTGAAACGGTTGTATAATGTCTCAACGTTTCAGCTGGGAGATCTCTTGCTCTATATACGAGGAAAATAACTATAATGAATTAACCGATTGCCAGGACAGGAGATTGCAATGCATAAATATGGAGTTCACCAGCCGTTTATACAGAAAGTCAACGATTCGATAAGGCATAGGCTGCGTGCCGATCGTACCATAATCAATTCGCTATGAAATGAGGACTCCTCAAACGACGGTTTGGATGCGGTTAGTTCGGCAAATATGACATTTATGCACGGTCGAATGTGGCAACCGATGAACTGGTCGAACGCATTCTGTAAGAAGACAATGGGAAAGAAATTAATGAGATGATCATGCGATAATGCGTAGCATCTAGTCAACTGATTGATAGTGAACATATCTTAGTTACTGATAAAATAGCGAGTAGTCAAAATGGTAACTTCAGTGAGACCGAGTAGAGATTAGACATCCGGGCTTACCTCATCGTCTAAGGCGACAGCCGTGCCGATCAGATTGCTCATTGCAATGACGGCATTGCGACGGGTCGCACTACCAAACCGCTGGAATTAAAAACAGCGGGAAGAAAACGTAAATCAGAAAACATTAGAATTTCGGGTGCATAAAATGATCAGTGTTTGAATTTACAGGCTATACTAATGAATGAATAATTGATGCAAAACGGAAGCCAGATAACCGAACTGTTAAAACGTGAATCATTACCGGTCTGAAGCAAGACGATGTACACTGCGAATGCACCGAGTCACGTGCGGCGGCACAGTTAGGGTTTACTCCATTTAACAACAAATGATAAAGAAAGAACAAAGCACGAGATTGCGCAAACGGCTATACGGTTTATACAACGCCCAGCAGGATTGCCACGTGCAACAGATTAGTGTGTAATGGTGAAAAACAACACACTTGGCGAAATGATTGCGAGCTCGGTACAGAACATACGAGATTGAGCCGTGTTTTGTCTAAAATGATTCACTTGTTTTTCAGTAATTTCTTTTCAAGCCGTTTACAGATTACATAGGTAACATTAGAAAACAGATCACACAGTTAGACTATCACCAATCATGGGTAAGAGTTTGTCATACTCAACTGGTATTTGTCATTTGATTAGTTTAACTAAGTTACGGCATCAAGGTGAATGGACGGCGGATACACTAGGGCCTAATCAATCATGGGCCATGGAAGTTGGAGTGACTGAACCAAACACTTTCGGGCCAGAGGTCAGGGGTCAACGTTTTTATCTCGATCGCTCCGGCTATTGCTAGGGTGCGCAGTTGAACACCCTTGCACTTGATGTGGGGGACACGATAAACAACTCTGAAGGTGACGTCCAGATTTACTTGATGACCGGTGTCGACTAAACGGGCCTGGATGATTCAACAATCAAAACTAGCATCAGAAGTGAGAGGAGACGCCGATCAAATGTGACTGCATGTGCAGTTTGAAAATTCGAGTGAAACAAGCGGACGATTATGAATTTTCGCGACATTTCTATCCAAGAAGTGAACCCAACACCCAAGAACATCAAGAGTGCCTGGTGTCTCTTAACAATCAAATGGGCAAATCCAAGCTTGCTACTCTAAAATTCTATCCCAGGCCTTTGTGTATAGGCAAAACTGCTAGGGAAGCCAGAAGTGTTAATTTCCGAAATGAATGAAAGTCCCCGAAATGATGTGGTGGTCGAAACATTCGAGCACATTAGGGTGGTGGTGGCGCAGTGGTTTAGTCGCTGTCACCGGCGTGCTT